ACCAGAGGTGACGCAGTTATGTCTTCATCTATCTTCAACCATCCCGATGAACCCAACGAAGTAGTGTGGCACAATCAATGCTTACTTGAAGTGTACAGCGAATACGACAACACACACCTCGAGGGCTCTCATGAAAACCATATTTGAAACAAGAGATGCAAAACCCAGATATGCACGACACTGATTCTTTTTAACACATGGCTTTCTACAGGCGGGAGGCTCAAACGATTTTGAAAGTGCTCTCGGGAACCACATTCTGACAGCTCCCGAATTCAATCTGACAGGTTGAACTCGGGAGCTTGTGTGATGACGCTTCACTCCCGAAAATGTCCAAGATGGGAGTAGTGTGGCGAGGCCTTGGATCTGTCCCGCCTTCCCACCCAAAACGCAGTTTCAATTTTTGTTTTCCCCTTCTTTCGTCGAGGTGACTGTGCCGGTATAATGCCCTTAGCGATTAGTGAGGACAAACTCACACAAGTACCCATGGGGATGTATCCGACTCCGTCGAAAAGTTTTTTTTCTTTTTTTCTTTTTCTTTTTTAGATGCAACCGTTGTGATGAAGTCAGTTTCCTTGAGAGTACCAGGCAAGAAAATACAAAGAGACCCAGACTCGACAAAACTCGAAGCGCAGTGAAATTCAGGTTCGGTGAAAACATTTTCCCCTATAACATTTCAATGTCACTCAAATTCGCAGTCCGTCAATGGTGCGTTTCCCCCCCCAAAGACATTTTCCCCCTTGAGACATTTGCATCGTCCTTCGTTATACCGGTCGTTGATTCGGGCTCGTTTGGTCATTGGAAGATTTGAAAAATGCAGGCAGGTGCAGGCACGACACTTTGGGGGGTGGTGGCAGTTTTTTTTTAAATGCGGGACCGGTAGCTGCCCGTGGGACCACGTGCTGGGTTTTGATCCAAACAGTGGCAAGGCAGCGACAAGGTGAAAGTTTAGGGGGTGGTGGTAGTTTCTTTGAAAAATGCGGGACCGGTAACTGCACGTGGGACCGCTCGTTGGGTTTTGGTCGAAACGGTGGCAAAGCAGAGACAGGGTGGAAAAGTGAAAAAGTCTGAATCGGAAAGGGCGTGGCCTTGGCCGCAGGTCGAAATGACACACCTGCATTGCATTTGCAAGTGCATACTTCTAAACCTTACCAGTAACACCTCCTTTATCAATCAAGCATATACAAGCTACGGGCTGCATACTCGTATCCACACGGTAAGTCAATTTCAACGTCGGTGGTCGTTGGGGAGGGTGGGCATTTTGAGGTTTTGGGGCCTTGCAAGGGCTAGGACCGCGTAGGACCGGTAGCTGCCCGTAGGAGGTCGAGGAGGCCGCGGTCCTTGAGCTTTAAATTGACTTACCGTAAGGGCACGGGTGCGCAACCCGTAGTTCGTTTGTTGATGTGGTTCATGAAGGGTAAGGTAGTGATTATGATGTATGTATGTTTTGTCATGTTCACTATACACAAATCGAAGAGAGTGTGTGTGGGGTCCTGGTTGGTGCTTTATTCACGATGTTCATGGGACGCTGGACCCAGTGTCCAGCAGGTGGCGCTCCCCATCAATAGATAGGAGAATGTGTGTGCATGTGTGTGTGTGTGTGTGTGTGTGTGTGTGTGTGTGTGTGTGTGTG